TGGATTGCGATGGCACAATCATAGCTCACTGCAGACTCAAACTACCGGGCTCAAGTGATCCTCCCACCGCAGCCACCAGAGTAGCTGGGACTACAGTCATGTACCACCATGCCCGGCTAAAATTTTTTTTTTAATTTTGTAGAGTCGAGGTCTCACTACGTTGTTCAGGGTGGTCTCAAACTCTCAGCGTCAAGCAATGCTCCCATGTCAGCCCCCCAAAGTGCTGGGATTGTAGATTTGAGCCATCGTGCTGAGCCTGAGACCGTTTCTTTTGGGGGTGAAGAATATGTTCTGGAATTAGATAGTGGTGATTGTTGCACAATTCTGTGTATATACTAAAAAACACTAAATTGTATACTTTAAAATGGTGGATTTTATGGTATGTGAATCATATCTTAATAAAGCTGTTATTGAAAAGGAGAAAGAAGAGAAGAAAGAGAAAAGGAGAAGAGGAAAAATAACTGGATCCTAAAGATAAACTGTTAGCAGTGAAATTATCCAGTAAGGGGCTGGGCGTGGTGGCTCACACCTGTAATCCCAGCACTTTGGGAGGCCAAAGCGGGTAGATCGCTTGAGCTCAGGAGTTCAAGACCAGACTGTGCAACATAGTGAAAATTCTTTTCTATAAAATTTTAAAAAATTATTTGGTAAATTCTTATATTTTTATGTACATTGTCAGATAGGCACACATAAAATTATTACTAATTCAAAATCCCACCAAGATTTTGACTAATGGTCAAAAAGCCCACCTACATAGGAACAAAGGTTTATTTTTATTTATTCTCCCATATACTCTCATAACCCCATCCACCCAGAAACAATCATCACTAAAACCTTGGTGTAAATTCTTCCACACCTTTTCCTTTCCTCTTCTATTTCTAGATGTGTAAAACGCTTGAATGTATATATTTCAAACATAAGAACCATCATATGATACAAACTTCAGATCTTTCTTTTTCTCTTAATGTGATCTATGGACACATTATAGATCAGAGTCTTTTTTTTTTTTTTTTTTTTTGAGACAGTCTTGCTCTGTCACCCAGGCTGGAGTGCAGTGGCATGATCACAGCTCACTGCAACCTCCATCTCCCGGGTTCAAGCGATTCTCCTGCCTCAGCCTCCCGAGTAGCTGGGACTACAGGTGCGTACCACCACACCTGGTTAATTTTTGTAATTTAGTAGAGACAGGGTTTCACCATGTTGGCCAGGCTGGTCTCAAACTCCTGACCTCGTGATCCACCCTCCTCAGCCTCCCAAAGTGCTGGGATTACAGGCGTGAGCCACCACCCCCAGCCATCATTTTTTTTTAAGTTGCAAAAACCAGTGTTCCATTGTATGGATTTACCATAACAGATAATGAAAATTCATGTTGTAGTTTACAATTATCTAAGTGCACATATTTATACAGATATCTTTGGACACTTTTATGCTTATTTCCAAAACATAAACTCTTAGCAGTAAAATTACCCAGTAAAATTCTATACGCTTTTGATATGTTTATGGACATTGTCAGATGAGCCAAATAAAATTCGAACTAATTTAAAATCCCCCCCAGGAGCATTAGAGTACATTTTTCTCTAAACTGGGGCCACTTCGAAAAATTTTGAAAGAAGCCTCTTAAGAGAAGAATTTCTCTGTTTTGGTGAATAAATCTGGTTCAATTTTCTTACCTTCAGCCTCTGCCATTGTCAACTCCGCCAAACAGGAGAGAATTAAGAGGATCAGTGGCATGAGCCTTTTTACAAGCTCCATTTTGGCAAGGGGCTGAGCAGCCTTAAAGACTGGCAGCTTTTATAGCCTCTGTGTTACATCAGCTTTCTGGACACCTCCAGGGAAACGTCAGTTCCAGCCATGCAATGGGGTAGATTTGTGTGAGAATAGAGCAGCTGTGTGACTGGTTTCTTATCAGCAGTCCCCACAGTGAGGGTTCCCTCTCCTCAAATCCTTCCCGGAAGGGTTGACACCCAGTGGAAGCTCTTTGTGGGAATCTCCAGCAGCTGGTTCCCAGCAGCCACTGAGTTATTCTCCATGAAACTGATGGGGAGCTGTGCCTTTCTTCTGTGCCTGCACATCACAAACAGGTGGCCTCATTGACATCATTGAAGTCTTCAGGGCTCTGCTTTGAGAAGAGAGCCTGTGGCAGAACAAAGGCCAGTGGGGCAAGGCAGGTGGTGCAGCACCTGGGCAAAATCTGGGTCCAGCTGGGACATTCAGATGCCCTGCCAGTTGGCTAACCCAGTGGGGGAGGGGAAGAGGGTAGGGATGAAGAGAAAAAGAGGACAGATCCAGATTCCCCTACAGGGATTTCTAACCAGTTATGTCTGGAGAGGTTGAAGCAGGTGAATTAATCTCTCAGGCATGGTGTTTTGCAGCCGAGAGAAAGAAATCCTAGTGTCCACAGTGAGACTGGGAGGAGCAAGTGGTGGTGGGTGGGGGCTGCCCTCTTTTCATTCAATCAGTAAATATTACTTATTGATCTAGGGCCTAAGCAATATAGAATTGAATGTGAGAGACGCAGTCCTGCCCTCATGAAACTTGTATTCTAAGTGGAGAGTTAGACAACAAAAATAAATGAAGAATTCAAATGGTGAGAGGAGCTATGGATACAATAACAGGCTGACTGCATAGATGGTGGTTGCCTTGGGGTGGGGAGGAAACCTGACAGTGAGAAGGAGGGCATCTTGAGAGATGAAATCGGAACGAAGGCAGAAAGATAAGAGGGAGGCATTCATGGGTGATCTGAGCTTGGGTGTTGCATCTTAGGCAAAAGAGAGGGCAAGTGCACAGGCCCTGAGGCAGGGACCAGGTGGGCACACCTATAACAGTACGGAAGAAAGAACAGCCTGGCTGGACATGAGTGGGAGGAATGAGCTGGGAGGGGAGGATGGAGAGGAGCAGGTGAAGGTCAGATGGGGAAGGACCCATAGGGCAAATGAGTCTGGGTTTCACTCTAAGTTCAGGTGGAACATATTGAGAGGACAATGCCAGGACTGGCTACTTTCTGAAGAACCTTTGTGCAGCTCTGGGGAGGTCTGACACCCGTGTAGGCTGAGTCTCCTAGGGTGAAACCCTCTGGCTACCGTCAGCCCCTCTGTGTTGTTCTGATGGTGCTGAAGCCCAGGACACCTCCCTAGGGAGAGCACAGTCCTACACTGTGACCCAGGGGATCCATTCCTTGTTGGGCCCTTGTAGGGGAAAGGCAGCATCTGGGATGCTCAGGAGGAGCTTGGACACTCCCCAAAGCCCCTGCCTGGCTCTGCTTCATTCCTGTCTGCCCGGGCTGGTTGTGGATGACGCAGGACTGGGTGTCCTGGGGTGAGTTAGCAGGGCACAGGTGTTTGAGACTGGGGACCCTTCTGGTTACTAATCGCTTGCAGCTGTATCCATGAATACCCACCCCTACCCTGGGCTTTCCCTCTGAACCCCTCTTTGTCACCCATGGCTGGGATCTCCAACATCCCTAATCCATCTCCACTGAGTGTGAGAGTTTCGTGGCCACACTCTGTCAGGTGGCCCTGGTAAAGGACCCAGGCTTCCAGGTCCAGTCAGGAGAGAAGCCACCTTGAGGCCTCTGGCAATTTCCTGGGGACCATGGGGTGCTGTGGGGTCAACCTGCATCATCTCACTGCTTTTTCCCTGTCACCTGTGCAAGTCCCCACTTCACGTCAAGGACACAGTGGCTCAGATGAGTAAAGGGACTTCTCCTGGTGAAGGCCAAATTGGGATGGGAACTGGGTCCATAAGGCTCTAAAACCCATGTGTGGTGCTCTGTCCTCCTGCTAGTGGGGGTATCCTGAAGACCTTTGTCCCACCTGCCTCCCTCACAGGCCCTGCAATACCTGCACCAGGAGTAATCACCCACATGGGGAGGCCCTGGCACAGGCGTCCTGGGTCCAGGCACTGGGCCACCCACTGTGTGGGGTAACAGGGGATTTGTATGTGCTCCATCTGTCAGAGCTTGCTGGTGACAAGAGAAAATCAAAGGCAGGGGACAGAGACAGTGCCCAGAAACTTAAGGGGGACAGGTGACCTCCGGCTGGAGGCTGCCCTGACTTGGCCTCTTCCCGAGCATGCTGGGGCTGGAGGCTCAGCCTCCAGGAAGTGCTCGGCCTCTACAGACAGCTCTTCCACCCACATCTGGCCCATTTCTGTGCCTAGATGTCACAGCTGTTTCCTTCATTTGCGACTTCTGTTTTCCTTTTTACCCCCTTTTAGTAGATTACCATCTGTTACTAGCTAATAATTCTTCACATTCAGTATACATGTGATGGTCACAAGCAAGGGTTTAGTTCATGAGAGGAGTGGACATGTGGTTACAGACGGGGAATCATGCTTAGAAAGGGGTTCCAGGAGGCTCAAGCGCAGGAGCTGGAACAGAAGGCAGCTGGGAGTAGAAGTGGGGAGTGGTGCTTCCTGTCACCTGTTGTGGTCAGGGAGTCTGGGCTTTGGCCTTTGGCTGGTGGTTGGTGTTACAGTTGAAGATGTTGATGGCTGGATCAACACACATCACTGTTACCGTGATCCACGAAGGAGTCACATGCTCTGGAGATTTGGGGATTGCAGTAGGAAGAAACTGGTTTTCAAAAGGTCCTTTTGAGGTCACTGAGCTCAGGCCTATCTTACACAGGTCAGACAACTTTAACACAGGGAGATCCTGCCTGGCTCCTCTCACTGTCTTGGATAAATGGACAGGACAACAGGACAGGTGTCAGGACATGACACCATTTTCTGCGGTGGATGTCAACCATCCAAGCCCTCATGAGAGCTAAATGAGTGACTCCAGCTGGACAAGATCAGCTGGGCGGAAATTGGAAACGTCGTAAGAACAGTGTGCATTTTCCTTCTTGGGTGGGAGATGTGCTGGACACTTTTATTCCAATTCTCTTTCTTCTATTGCAATGCTACAAGCTAATTTCCCCCACATTCCAAAGTGAGTAATAAATATATTTAAACAAAGAATGTTTATAATTAATAATCAAAAAATATTGGTGGCAAAGAGATTATTTTTAATAGTGTACATTTATTCAAAAGTATATAAAATAACACTGTAAATTATATAATCTCACATAAAAACTCTAGAACTTGATTTGAATAACAAAACAATCTACTAAGAAAGAAATACTGCTCGTGAAGATTTTTGTGCCCACCTTTCCCAAGTCAGAGGCCCTCATTTATGTCACAACAGCAAGGTGGCAGGGCATCAAAACTGGCATACATTCTACATCCTTCACAGCACTGCAGGGCAGGACAAGACTCCATGGCAATGGTTTTGGCCTGGCTGTTCTTGGCCCACCACACCTTGTCTGGGTTGTGATTTTTTACAGCCACAGCCTCAGGGTCCTTTGCAGCTCTTGAGAAAAGACACACACAAAGCACAGGCTTAGAATTTTTCTTCTCAGTCCTTTTGTTAGAACTGTTGGGGATATTGGAAGTTTAGTGCTGAAGCCAGTCAAACATTAACACCAGTCCTACATTAAGGCTCTCTCCCCTGTCCCAAGTTCCTCTCCAATCCTTTCCTCTCCTATGATTGCTATAAACGTAAACTGAGGTTACAAAAGTAAGGGTGAGTGAATTCGCAAGCAAGGTCACCCAGCTGGTCGCTGTAGGCCCCCGAGATGCAGGAATGATGGGAAGGTGCTGCATTCAGCTGTGTCCTGGGCTCCGGGATGTGCCATTGTGAACTCCTTAGAATGGGGACACAATTGCATCTGACAACCAATCTTTCTGGTACTTAAAGGGTCTTCTCCCCAAAAATGCAATCTTCTCTGATCTACCCTCCCTTGTCCACTGTTCCCCAGGTTTTTCACACAGGTCAGCTGTCCCTGAGATCTAGAGCCCCAGTCATTTTCCCCAAGGCCACCAGAAACAAATGGAGGAATACCCTGAGAGCTCCCAACTCAGGCAAGAAGAGATCAATCCAGCCCGTCCTCCACATGAGTACAAGGCAGAGCTCATTCACGCAGTCTTCCCCTCAGAATCTGCAGCCTGCAGTGCCCAGGACAGAGGAAGGCTTGGCCAAGGTGCTGAATTAAACACCTGATGGTAAACTTAGTGAGATCCATTGACAACCAAGCAGTGCTGACACTCACAGGCCCAAGCTGAGAACATTCTAACCACCCCAGCCAGAAAGAAAAAACATAACTAGACTCAGCTGTCTTTTTGCCTTTACAAAGCTGCCTGTTCTTCTTGACCTCACCTAGGAGTACGGCCACAGCAGCAAGGAATGACCTTGCCCCAACAGGGAGCCCAGGTATCCCATTGATGGAGTGTTATCTATCCCCCTTTCTCCATGTGACTCACTTTAGTGCATTGTTTATTTTGAACATGTGACTCACTTTAGTGCGTTGTATATTTTGAAGTAAAGACAGAGCACGACAACTATCAGCAGGAGCAAGGCTGCCAGGATACCACCAGCAATGACAAGCATAATCACTGTACGGAGGTCAAAAGACTTCGATGTACCTAGGCAGAGAAGTACAAGCAAGCACTGAGCCCACGTGGCCTCCCTCCCCACACAACCACCAAGCAATGTCAATGTCAGGGGAGGAGGAAGAAACCCCAAACACAGATCTTTATGTGTGTAAAACACAAATGTCTTCCCAGGGCAGTCTAGGATCCCAAGCTGGCCCAGAGATGGAAAAAAAGAAAAAAAAAAGTCCATTTGTCAATGAAAAGGAATGGAAATGGAAATGCAAAGTCCAGAGAGAAGGCTATCAGAAGGACAAACAGTGGGAAGAATCGTTCCCTTTCACAGGTGTGATGTGCAGCTGGAAACAACAAGCAGGCCTGCAGTGGAGCTGATGGCATCACTCCCCAGCGCCTGGACCTCCTGAGCTATACTCATTTTCAGAGTCAGAAATGACCCCTCGCTGGATGTCAGGCTCAAAGTTCTTCTGTGGAAAAGACTGTGTCCAAATGTTACTGCCCCAACAATACTGAGAATATGCAAATCCATTTTGTAAATGATGCATGTTTTAGGAAAAGAACTTTACAATTCTTCCTCTGACAACTGACATTTTTCCGCCTAAATCTTAAATTCTCCCAAGAATCCAATTTGAGATAAAAAATTAGTTTAACTTTCTGAAACTGGGAAAAAGTGAGCCAGAGGAGAAGAATAAACAATCTGACTGCCAAAGCATACTTACCACCTTTTAACTCTTCATGGCTGGGTGAAAGCCAATAGTAAAAAAAAATTACAATCAAAGTAAACTTTAGGGAACGGGACATCTTATCAGGAATTTCTCAAACTTTTAATTTGAGAAAGAAAATTCTAATGATTAACATCCAAAGTTGAAGACTTCGCTTTTAGAAGCAGTCTTCCAGTAGAGCTAGCAGAATGGATATCCACAATCCAGTTCCAACTTCTGTGCCAATCAGGACACAGGCTGTGTGACATCAACACTCTGGACACCAGCTCTCTTTCATGGAGTTCTGAATTCCATTCCACTTCCAGATATATTTTAGCACCAATGGAAGTAGGTATGTCTAAATAGTCTCTTAAGCCATGTAATATTCAATCTCCCCTTTTCAGGCTTTGTTTCCCTCAGAGAAAAGTTTTAGTTAAGAGTCTGATTCCCAGAGATGCCACGTTATATTATTTTAAATGTCCACTTTTCCAAAAAGCCTATAAGAAAGTATGGCCCATAAAGGAGTAGGGGAGCAATAAATAAAAACTTTTTCTGGAAGAAGCCCAGACATTGGCCCTACTAGAAAAGACTTTTAAAGTCTTTTAAATATGTTCAAAGGAATCCACGTCCAAAAAACTAAAGGAAAATATGAAAATAATGTCTCATCATAAAAAATACCAATAAAGATAAAAATTATTAAAAAGAACCAAACAGAAATTATGGCATTGGAAACTACAATGACTGAAATGAAAAATTCACTAGAAGGGCTTAATAGCAGATGTGGATTGACAGAAGAAAGAATCAGTGAACTTGAATATAGTTGAGATTATCCAAACTGCAATACAGAAAGAAAAATAAATGGGTAAAAATGAACACAGGACTTTCGGTTTCTGTGCCAGCATGTGAAGGGCTTAGGAGTCATCATTCCCATATTCACAACAAGTAAAAAGCTGAATAAACTGACTGAAGAATCAACAACTCTTAAGTCAACCAGAAAACTGGTCACAGGGCAAACAGCCACTACCAAAACTAAAGAGAGAGGTGAATACAGAGAATCTCAGCTTAGGAGCAGAAGCCATTGCCAGAGCCAGCAACTAGTAAGAACACTTACATGGTAACTGATGTCTTCCTGGATGATGAATAGGGACTAGCATAATATTTTAAAACTCCTGAGGAGCAAATTTTGTTTTGTTTTTTGTTTTGTTTTGTTGGGTTGTGGCTCCCTTTCATGAGTCATATCTCCAGGAGTATTGCAGGAAGTCAGGGACCCCGAATGGAGGGATGAGCTGAATCCATGACAGACGAACATAAATTGTGAAGATTTCATGGACATTTATTAGTTCCCCAAATTAATACTTTTATAATTTCTTACACCTGTCTTTACTACCATCTCTGAACATAAATTGTGAAGATTTCATGGACACTTATCACTTCCTCAATCAACACCCTTGTGATTTCCCATGCCTGTCTTTACTTTAATCTCTTAATCCCATCATCTTCGTAAGCTGAGGAGGATGTATGTCGCCTCAGGACCCTGTGATGATTGCGTTAACTGCACAAATTGTTTGTAGAGCATGTGTGCTTGATCAATATGAAATCTGGGCACCTTGGAAAAAGAACGGGATAACAGCAATGTTCAGGGAACAAGAGAGATAACCTTAAAATCTAACTGCCAGTGAGCTGGGCGGAACAGAGCCATATTTCTATTCTTTCAAAAGCAAATAGGAGAAATATCGCTGAATTCTTTTTCTCAGCAAGGAACATCCCTGAGAAAGAGAATGGCCCCTGAGGGTAGGCCTCTGAAATGGCTGCTTTGGGGGTGGCTGTCTTTTATGGTCAAAGGAGAAGGGATGAAATAAGTCATGGTCTCCTGTAGCGCTCCCAGGCTTATTAGGATGAGGAAATTCCCGCCTAATAAATTTTGGTCAGCCTGGTTGTCTGCTCTCAAACCCTGTCTCCTGGTAAGATGTTATCAAGACAATGTGTACCTGAAACTTCATTAGCAATTTTAATTTTGCCCCATCCTGTAGTCTTGTGATCTTGCCCTGCCTCCATTTGCTCTGTGATATTTTATCACCTTGTGAAGCACGTGATCTCTGTGACCCATATCCTATTCGTACACTCCCTCCCTTTTTGAAAATCGCCAATAAAAACTTGCTGGTTTTACCGCTCGGGGAGCAACAGGGAACCTGCTGACATGTGATGTCTCCCCCAGACACCCAGCTTTAAAATTTCTCTCTCGTACTCTTTCCCTTTATTTCTCAGACCAGCTGACACTTACGGAAATAGAAAAGAACCCACGTTGAATATCGGGGCTGGGGTTTCCCCCAATACAGGAGCTCACCTGGTTCTTATAATGAAGACTACAGGAAAATCCCTTTATATTTTAGTCTCCACTCACACTGCAGTGGAGTTGGCCTTATTACCACTATGAGATAATAAAAGTTATGAAATTTCACCAGGCCTCCTGTGGTGCCACCCCAGAAGTTAAGTGGAAAGTTGTCTCATTACCTACTGGGTCAGAGAAGAAATCCAGACTCCCCAAGGGGTCTCCACTGATACCACAGGGGTCAGAGTTGAGTCTCTGCTCTTTATTCATCCTTCTCTGACACCACCCTGGTGGAGGAGTGCTTTGGGATACTTCTTTACTGCTTGGTAATAGTAGACTTCTAAGCTCTCTACTCAGTCTTTGCTGGTGGAGTTGGGATAAGGCCATAGTTTTTTCTATGGTGTTTGCCTAGAATGCAGAAGTTATTGTCTAAAAGTTTTCTGTCTTGTTGAATTGCCCATTTCCTGGTCTTTTGGCCAGAAAAACTAGTTTCTTGTTGGGGCTCTTTTGTCTGAACCCATTGCTGTTTCCAAGTTGCTCAATTCTTCAGCTCCAAGTTTAGGAATCTGAGACAAAAAACAAAACTTACGGAACTCACTACCATGCTATTACTTTGATCCCAAGGTCCCTAGCTAGCCTTCCTTCTTCTCTCCACCTATTCAAGCCTTATGTTTGTTTTCTATATAATATCCATGGATTTTAGTTGTACTTAGGAAGAATAAAAGTATCTCTTCCCCTAATATGTGAAATTTTTAAATCAGTCCTCTGGTTAAAAGCCACAGCCTCTGCACCAACCCTACACTTGCTCAATCCTGAAAATGAGTGTCTCCTTAAATTGTGTACCCTGGGCCCTTCGCATGTGTTATCCAGCCCATATCTTGACATAACATCTTTCCAACCTCATCTCCCTCTGTGTTACCCCACACCCCATGTATTTTCATGCCTCTGACCTGGTTAGATGGCCCTCCCTGTCCCTCACCTCCTCTATCTGCTGAAATACCATCCCGCAAGACTTCAATAAAATGCTACGTTCTTATAAAACCTTCACTGATTTCCGTCTTTCTCCCTCTCGTGTTAATTGTCCTCTCCCTATGTATCCATGCCCTTTGTTTGTGCCTATATGGAAATTTGAATTGTTGACTAGGTGTAGTGGTTCATGCCTGTAATCCCAGCACTTTGGGAGGGTGGGGCAAGAGGACTGGATTGAGCCCAGGAGTTTGAGATCAGCCTTGGCAATATGATGAGACCCTATCTCTACAGAAAATTTTAAAAATGAAAATGAAAATAAATTAGCCAGGTGTGGTAGCAGATGTCTGTAGTCCCTACTTGGGTTCAGAGGGATATAACCCTAAATAAGCTTAGTTATCATTAAGGAGCTAGGGCCTGTGGACCCTCACCATGGGGGTGACTACTTCATCTCTCGGTTTCCTTCTATTTCTGTGGTTACTTGATTGCTGTTTGATAGTCTGTGGGCTTGTGCATTTAAAGTTTGCTTTTTCAAGGTGTTTGTGAGCTCCATGGGGGCAGGAGCTCTGCAACCCTAGGTATCAGAGAACCTGCAACCGATTAGGTGCTGGCACATGTTATGATCATTGACCGAAATCTGAATCTTGTCAATCTGGCACTCATCACTTTCTCCAACTGAACCTCTAAATTTAGACAGTGCAGTGACTCAGACATAGCAGTTAAACCCTGACTAATATTATTTCATTGATTAAAAAGAATGCATACTTTCTACATTGCTTATAAGTCACCAACATTTAACTACTTCCAATGTGTTTCAGTAATATCTTTCTGAGTTGTAGTGAAGACAACCAGGAGGCAATAACTAAAACCTCTGTTTGAAAGATGAGGAAACCGAAGCTCAGAGAGTGGAAGTGACTCCCTTGGGTCACACAGCAAGTAACTGGCAGCAAAGAAACTAGGACCTGGTTCTATAATCCTTCCCTCCATCTCCTGCTTCCCAAGTCCAATGCTCTTCCACCCCCAGCCTTCCTGAACCTTCTGAAATGATGTGTTGTTCCCCATTCCCAGTCCCCCAACTCTATTATTCAAAGGCTGTGATTTTGGCTGTCAGCTGAAAGATCTGCAAATAAATCTAGTTGCATTTTATCTAAGGAAGGGGCTGATTTTTGTGTTGATGTTTTCATTCAAAGCAGTATCTCACTGATGATTTACATGTGGTGACTACTCAAGAGTACTGAGAGGAACGGGGCCATGTGTTCCAGACGGCAAAAGGTAGGCAGCAACTGTGCTCAGAATCAGTGAGTTCAACTTTGCAAAATGCAATTCCTGATACAGGGGCTGGCCTTTTCTCTACGGAAATTCTCTGTAATTCATATCCACAAGGACTTTCACCCAAGTCAGTTATTTGCAAACTGCCCATCCTGTGACTAACACCTGAGTCAAATGGTTGCAAACACCCTGAAGCATGCTAAATTGCATCTCTGGAGACAGAAGCATCCTGGATCCAAAACTACATAAGCCTGTGAGCTCCCTACTTGACCCAGTTCCCATCTCTGTGCCTCCTCCACAGCTCTTTCTGCTCTGCTCCCGGAAAACTCATCTTTACCTTCAGACTCTTGGTGCAGATGGGGACCTTGCTATGGCACTGGCAACTGCCGTGAGAAGAGCTGGGTTTTGTCCCAGAGAGAGGATCTCCTTAACTGAATCCTTTATTCTCAGAGAAATAAAAATTGTGGTGAACAACATGCAATCGGATTTTATGAACTGCCAAGGTTTGAAGAGTTTCTGTGTCTTTGTAAAATCCAAATGGCACATTTTACTATATGTCCCAGAACCAGATTACACCTCTCTTCCCATCTCCCAAATTCCCATCCAATCATTCCCTCCAAAACTTTATGACTGTAAAATCAGTTTTAAAAGAACCAAAGAGAAAAAACTGCAAACTCAGTGATGGATTACCGTGTTCTACCTTATCAGTGCCTGTCTAGGTGATCAATGCAGATCCCCCAGAGGTGCAGGTATGACAAGGAAGGTCACAATCTACCAAGCACTGGGCTCTGGGATCTGCCCTCTAACTCGCAGGCTTAACTTTCACAAAATGTGACAAGACTGAGTCTGTCAAACCAACCTCTCATTTCTTGGGAGGCATTCTTCTCCATACTCACATGATTCAAGAGAAGTAACAGTTCATCTTATTTCACCTGCATACATAATGGCTCCTCTGCTCCAGGAAGGGCAAGAAACATTTCAAAAAGAGCTCCAACTTCATCATGGGTCAGACATCCTCTTGTCAGGCATCCTCCAGGGTCTTCCAAGTGCAGCTTCCCATCTCACCATCTCTTAGGCAACTGGAGAGGGGAAAAGAGAACAGCTCAAGAACTCTGTAGCTCAGCAAAGGGGAGATCATTCAGTTTGTCAGTTTTTTCAGTCTATAGTGCCTCAGACAGAGGGAGAGCTCAGCTAACATGCTGAGTTAAACACCCAATAGGAAACTCAATTATTTAAAGTGACACCAAGGCAGTGCTGACACACAGAGCCACCAGGCTGAGAACATTTTATTTACAAGCTCACAGCCCCAAGCCAGAAGGTAAAAAAGCCAAGAGTGTACACAAACATGCCTTTGCCTTTCAACCTCTCCTGCTGTTCTTGACATGAACCATATGTGGCTGCCACAGCAAGGAATGCCCCTGCGGAAGCAGAGAGTGTCCAGGTATCCCATTTGAAGGGATGTCCCTCATTGTTAAGTGACTCACATCTTTGCCATGGCACATTAGAAAGGGACACAATCAGCACAGGGGCAGCAACCAGGACGAGACCAAAACCAACTATAATCTCTGTCCCAAGACCAGCAGTCTCAACGTTTATATGGATAGACACCCAACTTGTGGTGGCTTACTTTGTGAAAAGCCAAATATCCTCTATGAGGAGCTAAGCAGGCAGTGCCAACGATGTTCCCTGTGTAGCAAACAAGCAACCTCTCCTGCTGTTCTTGACCTGAACCATCTGTGGCTGCTGCTGCAAGGAGTGACCCTGCTGAAGCAGAGAGTGTCAGCGTGGGGAGTCAGCAGTGCCTGCCTTCAAGGGATCAGCCTAGGGGAGGTCCATAAAGCCCTGATTCTGCAGCTCAATCCCAACAAGAACGGCCTTTCACACTGGAAAGACCAGACAGCAAAAGTATCTGAATATCTTTCCCACTTTCAGTGTGCTGAGGCCTCAGTCTCAGTCTAGCCATGCTGGGGAGTCTCCAGGGGTCTCTCCTTCTTTCCCTGGGCCTCAATCAGGACTGCAGAAGCATCCTTACTTGCCCCAAAGGTTCCTTCTCCAGCCCCCTCTCCCCTGGACAGACCCAATGCATGTTGCAAAGAGATGTAGACAGTGATTACAGATCGATCTTCATTTCACCTGGACTGAGAAAAATCACCCTGGGTTACTGCTGCTTCCCTCAGCCACTATCTCCCTCCCTCCACTTCCCACCTCTAAACACCAGTGGTCTCATGATGTCCCCAAGCTGCCAGCCCCTAGAGCCAGGCCCAGTCCTGCATTTACATTTCACTGGATGGACACAAACAGAATTTGGTTGCTTGTGACTATAGGAATGAGGTTCCTATTTCTTGCTGGCTGATGGCCCAAAGGCACTCTTAGCTCCTACAGGCCACCCACTCACAGGCCCTCTCACTCAAGGCAGTTTACTTCTCCTTCCAGGCTGGTAGGAAAGCCTCTCTCTGATGCTCCACCCACCTTCTGTAAAAGGGCTCACCTAATAAGGTCAGGTCTACCCAGATAATCTTGGATGTTGTTGCCAGGGCTCTTTACCAACATCTCCTGACTGTTTTTCCGTTTCCTGGTTTCATTTTCAGGCTGGCCCCCTCCACATACTGGGCCAGTGTCAACTACAAGCCCACATCCTTAAAATCTCTGATCTAAAAAGGAGAGAGATAATGTCCTTTTCCAGGGTCCACAAATCCTACAAAAGGAGTCTGGTCTTCCCTGGATCACCTGCCCTTCAATTGTACCAGTCCCTGTGGAAAAAGGGACAAGGGCCCATGATCTTATTCAGGTCAGGGTCACATGCACTGTCACTGATAACTCCTGCCACAATCACAGTGGATAAGCGGTGAAGCTCATCCCCAAGGGAAAGGGATTCCAAGCCAACTGAAACAACACATGTTCACTGTAGAAAGCAAGAGTGAAAAACATGAAGTTGTTGAAAATGTTTAGCATTACAGTAATTTTATTCTGATCATTTAATACAAGAAAGCCAAATAGGAATTCAAATTTTCAACTTTACTTTTGGTATTGATGAATAATGAAGAACCTTAGCTTCCTCATATTTCCACAGTTCGTTGGAGTTAAAACAATCAGGTATTACATATTTCACTTGCTTTTTTAAAAGTTCTCCTAAAAAGCTGTGAGAATTCTACACCAGCATGGGTCACTGTTGCATAATATCACTGAGGTCTGTTGTGTGTACTACTTTTCACCAGCAAAGGAAAAATGAAGGATTTTTTGAGTAACTTTTGTATACATATTTAGGTACTACACTTTTACTAATAAAAGTAACTTTGACAAGAAAAAACATCTTGTATTACTGCGGTGCATGTTACAATTAATGAGACAATATTAATATATTAACTAAGTTTGGTAATTTTATTCAGTTTTCTCACTCTGTGTTGTACAGTCCTATAGGTTTTGACAAATGCATGTATCCACCATTATAGTATCACATACAGATTAATTTTGCCCCCAAAATCCCATGCTTCACTTATTCAACATTACCCTTCTCCCTTCCCCCTGCCATACCCTGCCAACCATTCTTTTAATTGTTCCTGTAGTTTTGCCTTATCCAGAATGTTACATAGTTGGAACCATATAGTATGTAGCCTTTTAAGGCTAACTTGTTACAACTGGCAATAGTCACTTAAGGTTTCTTCATGTCATTTTGTTACTTGACAGCTCATTTATTTTCATCATGGAATAATATTCTATTATATGAAAATACCAGTTCTTTATTTACCTACTGAAGGACATCTTAGTTGCTTCCAGCTTTTGCCAGTTATGAATAAAGCTACTATACAAATTCATGTGCAGGTGTTTGTGTACCCACAGATTTTCAGCTCAGCAGGATAAATAACTAGGAGTCCAACTGCTGAGTCATATGTACCATTTAAAATTCCAGCCAGCAGTGAATGAGAATTCCTGGTGCTATGCATACCCACTGGCATCATTTGGTATTGTCAGGTTTTGTTTTTTTATTTTAGCCATTCTAATACATACTTGTTAAGTATGATGTTAGCTGTAGGTTGTTTGTACACGTTCTTTATTAACTTGAAGAAGTTCCCATCTATTCCTAGTTTCCTGAGTATTTTTTTTAATGATGAATGGGTGCTGAATTTTGTCAAATCCTCTTTTCTGCATCTATTGATATGATTTTTATTCTTTTATTCTTTATGTGATAGGTTGCACTAATTGGTTTTCAATATTGAATGAGAAACATACAAGAATACCTTACCCACCTGGAGTAACTCTTACTTGGTGTTGATATATAATACTTTTTCTACTTGTTGGATTCTATTTGATATTTTGTTGAGGATTTTTGCATCTGTGTTCATGAGAGGTATTGGTCTGTATGTTTCCATTCTCCTAATGATTTTATTTTGCTTTGGTGTTAGGGTAATGCTGGCCTCATATAATGAATTAGGAAGTGTGTTCTGTGCTTCTATTTTCTGGATAAAACTGCAGAAAATTTGTATTATTTCTGCCACAAATGTTTGGGAAAATTCACAAGTGAACTCATGTGGTCCTGGTGCTTTATTTTTTGAAAGGGTAATTATTATTATTATTATTATTTTACTAGATATAGGCCTATTTAGATTATATATTTCTCCTTTCTAAGTTTGGGTACATTGTGTCTTTTAAGAAATTGATCCATTTCATCTGTCATCAAATTCAGAGACAGCTGTTCGTATTATTCTGTTTTTATCCCCCCCCCCTTTTTTTTTTTTTTGAGATGGAGTCTCACTCGTCGCCCAGGCTAAAGTGCAGTAGAGCAATCTTGGCTCACTGCAACCTCTGCCTCCCGGGTTCAAGAGATTCTCCTGCCTCAGCCTCCTGAGTAGCTGGGACTACAGGCGCGTGTCACCACACCTGACTAGTTTTTTATTTTTAGTAGAGATGGGGTTTCACCATATTGGCCACGCTGGTCTCTTAACTCCTGACCTCAGGGGATCTGCCCAGCTCAGCCTCCCAAAGTGCTGGTATTACAGGCATGAGCCACCGCACCCGACCTCCCTTTTTATCCTTTTAATGCCTGTGGAATCAATACTAATGGTCCTGCTTTCATTTCTAACATTAATAATTTGTATCTTCTTTTTTAGCCTTCCCAGAGGCTTATCAACTTTATCTGTCTTTTTAAAGAACCAGTTTTTTATTTCATTTATTTTTTCTGTCAATTTCATTGATTTTTGCTGATTTTTATTATGTCTTCTCTTCTGCTTGCTTTACATATACAGACATACCTCGTTTTACTGCGCTTCACTGTACTGTGCCTCATAGATACTGCATGTTTTGTGAACTAAAGAATTCTGGCAATTCTGTATTAAGAAGGTCTATCAGCATCATTTTTCAAACAGCATGTTCTTACTTGTGTCTCTGCTGTAACATTTTGGTAATCCTTACAATATTTCAAACTTTTGCTTTATTATTATATATGTTATGGTGATCTGTGATCAGCAATCTTTGATGTTACTATTGCCATTGTTTTGGTCCACCATAAATCATGACCCTATAACATGGCAGACTTAATCAACAAATTGTGTTCTCAGTATTCCACTGACTGCCATTCCCTCATCTCTCTCCCTCTTCTCAGGCCTCCCTATTCCCTGAGACACAAAAATATCAAAATGATAACAATTAATAACCCTACAATAGTCTCTAAGTGTTCAAATGAAAGGAAGAGTCACATACGTCATACTTTAAATCAAAAGCTAGAAATGATTAAGCTTAGTAAGTAAGGCATGTTGAAAACCCAGATAGGCTGAAAACTAGGCCTCTTGCATGAAACAGTTACCAAGTTGGAATGCAAAGGAAAAGTTCTCAAAGGAAATTAAAAGTGCTACTCCAGTGAACACACAGATAAGAATGCAAAATGGCTTTATTGCCGATATGAATGAAGTTTTAGTGGTCTGGATAGAAGATCAAACCAGCCACAACATTCCCTTAAGCCAAAACCTAATCCACAGCAATGCCCTAACTCTCTTCAATTCTGTGAAAGCTAAGAAAGGTAAGGAAACTGCATAAGAACAGATTGAATCTAACAGAGGTCAGTTCATGAGATTTTAAAAAATAAACC